ACACACCAAGCAGTTCTGACACTTCATAGGCCTTCTTCTGCTCCACTGTCTCATAGTTGAGGGCCTCAAAGAAGATGTCCAGCACCAGCACATTGTCTCTGGAGGAAAAGAGAACAGGAAAGCTCGCTGGACCCCCTCTGGCTCCAGCTGCAGGCAGGAAACAGGTGCGCGATCCGTCTCCCGTCTGTGTGACTTCTGAGAGCCCTGGGGCGGGCGTCATGGCCCCCGTTTGCAGGAGAGATGGTGTCAGAAGGTTCACCCGCTTGCCCAGAGGCCCAGGAGCCCTGTGGTGATGTGCAGACTGGTGTCCCAGCCGGGTGTGCGCGCGAAGGCTCGTCCGCAGGAGGGTGCCCGCCCCGCCCCCGCCGGCCCGGCTCACGCGATGTAGGCCTCGCTGCGGTTGTGTTTCCGGGCCAGGTAGCGGGCGGAGGCGCGGCTCGGGATCCGCACCATGGAGAGCTCCTTGGCGTAGCGCGTGCTGGCGCACGGGTTGGGGCAGGTGCACGCGTCCTTCCGCAGCATGGCGTCTAGGGGCCACAGTCGCCTGGGTCAGGGCCACTCCGGGTCGCGGGCGGAGCGGAGCAGGGGTGGGGATGCGGGACAGGTTTGCGCCTTACCGAGCGCCGGATTGGCGCAGTCTTTGTACTGCTGGGGGCTGCACACTGGCGCACCTCCTGGGGTGGTGGGGGAGGAGAGAGCTTCGGGAAGGGCCCCGTAGGGCCCTTTGCCCCCCCACGCGGACCCCCTCCTCCGCCCCCACCAGCCCCTTACCAGGCATATGCATCATTCGGCAGCCGCACTTCCGAGCCACGTAGCGCGTCTCGCAGGCTAGGCGACACCCCATTAGACTATACGGAGGGTGGGGGCCTGGGCTGGGGCTGGGGGCCCCCAGGGGACCTGAAGGTTCGGGCTCAAAGTCAGCGTCCAGAGATGCGGAGCTGCAGTCGCCCCAGGGTGGTGGCAGGAAGCTCAGCTGTAGTGGGTTGTGTTAAGGAGGCACCCAGGTACAATGTGAGCTGTGACGGTGCCGGCATGCAGAGGGATGGGGGCCCCCAGGACGGTCTGAGGTGTTGTGGGCTGAAGGAGGGGGTTGGGGGCCTTGGTGGGGTGGGGGTGGGGATACTTGCTGCTGCTGGCAGGACACAAAGGTCTGGTAGCCAGGGGCTGCCCCGAAGCCCTGCTGCTCGATGGTGGGCGGCTCCTCCTGGCTGTGGATCTGCACTCGGATCCCCACCTCAAACGGGGTCTCTTCTGCAGGGGTAAAGGGGGACCCTGAGGACTGTGTCTCAGGACAGCCCCTGCTGCAGCCCTCTCTCCCCAGGACTGCAACCAACCAACCCTGCCCTCTTCTCACAGGAAAGGATGTGCTTTGGGGTCCTTCCTAGTGCCTCCTCTCCTTCCCAGAGGCTTTTGTACCCCACCTGTGCCACCCTTCCAGCCTGACCCGCGTGCCCCCATACCCATGTCCCTCCACACGGGCAGATACTCATCCTGCTGCACATCCAGCATGATCTCCAGCCCGTTGCCCATGCCGCCCTTGGGAGTGGTGAGAAGCTCTGCCCCATCGGCGCCCGAGTTAAAGGTGTAGCACTGACCCATCCGGGTGAAGATCTACGAGTGAGCAGACAGGGGACAGACCTCACCAGGGTACAAGGAGCCCAGCCAGCCCTTTTACCCAGGCAAACCGGAGGACGACGAGACCTCTCCTCTCCCTGCCCTCCATTTGGTCTCTTTGACCGCTCGACCCATATCTCGGTGCCCCCAGTCCGTCCCTCCTGCCGGCACGTAGAGTCAGACCCTCATGGGCTCCCATCGCTCCAGCCCCTCCTCCCCTTCCCAGACCCCACAGCCCCCAGCCCAGGGAGCAGCCTATGGGACAAGTGTTTCTTTGGAGAATGGCAAGAAAGGAAGGGGGTCTCGGCTGCCCTCCTCCAGGCCTAGCAGAACGTTGAAGACGTAGAGGGAAAGCAAGCCGACTCGCCCAGGCAGAGAGGGCTCTTCCGCCCTAGAGCAGTCCCACTAGATTCCCCCCAGCCCCCAGAAGCGGGGTCTCCACAGACCAGAACTTGGGCCCAGAGCCAGCCTGGGTGAGTGCCCGGTGCTGGGAGGCACGACCTCGCACACTGCGGTCCAGCTGAGTGACGGGGGGAGGACCCCAGGGAGCAGTCTCCTGCGCTGAATAGAAAGGCCCTGGCAGGGTGGGGAACCTGTGGCCTGGGTGGGAAGGGAGGGGTCCCGGGCACGGCTGTTAAGGTCCCCCGGCTTTGGAGGAGCCTGGGCTGGCATGACTGGGGGATGGTGGGTCCCGGGCCGGTGACCAGCTCACCGCAGTGAAGTTCTCGGGCCCGCACGGCCAGCCTCGGTAGCGGCAGTCCAGCAGCATGTCCTCCAGGCTGTGCCCGGCCCTGGCGTACAGTCGAGCCATGTCGAAGGTGGGACTGGGCATGAAGCCGCGCGGCGCGGGGGGCTGGCCCAGGGCGCGCAGGAAGGCGGCATGCTCGGCGGGCTCCACACCCAGCAGCGCGGGCCCGGCCCAGTGCAGGTCGTTGGGCGTGAGGCGGGAGCGGCGCAGCGGGTTGATGTTGCACAGGGTGACGGCGGGAAAGGTGAGCCGGTGGCTTTCGCGCTCGTCCAGGGCCGTCTCGTGGTGGAACTCCCCATAGTAGCGCACCCTCTCAGCCACTTGGTAGAGGAAGGCGGCCAGCGACAGGAGCACGGCGGCGGCCCACAGCCCTCGGCGAGGCGTCAGGCCCCCGGGGCCAAAGACGTGGCCCAGCCCGTGCAGGGTGCAGCTGCTGGCGAACACGCGGATGTCCGAAGCTGGCCGCCGGGCCTCCTGCGGCCCGGGATGGGGCTTCATGGCCGAGGCCCAGGGTGGGGGACACTGAGAGGGCCGGGGACGGGTGACCAGGCTGCAGGGGCTTGGAAGGAGGAAAGAGGGTCAGTCTGAGGACCGGGAGGGGCTGAGAGGATTCGGGTGGCCAGGTGGGGGTCGCTGCGGGTGAGGCGAGGGGAGGAGAGGGTGGGGGAGAGGAGCCCAGCCCGAGGGGTGCGGAAGCACTGGCGCAGCAGGTTTGGCTCGACGGTCTCCAGGAACAAAAGCTGGGGCTCCGCTAGGCTCAGCGCCGGACCGGGGGCGCGGCCGGAGAGACCAGGTAGGGCGCTGCCGAGGTGGGAAGCAGGGCTCGCTATGCTGGAGGCTGCTCTGCTGAGCCGGAGCTGCCGCAGAGGATTGGGTTACAGCAGTGAGGGGGCCGGGGGCCCGCAGAGCAGTCTGGGCGGGGGGCAGGGAAGGTCCCTGGGGCCCCAGGCTGAGCCATTAGTGCGGTGTGTTGGGGGGGGCGGGCCGCGGCTCTGGGGAGCCCAGAGGCGCCAGCAGGAAACCACCGCAATCCTGGGTAAGGCTCGAAGGGAGCCTGAAGAGAAGTTGGGTCTGGGGCGCCTTAATGGCCCTTTGGGCTCCCAGCTGCAGCCCTTGCCGTTGGGTTGAGGGTCGGTTGCTGACCCTCGGCCCAGTCCCTCCCTCCTTTTGTCTCTCCTCCCTTCCCACTAACCTCACTCGGGATCATCTGTTCCTCCACAAAGAGAGCAGTTGGCTGTTGACCAAGCTGGAAAGCGGTGGGAAGTTTGGCATTGGCAGACTCCTGGCCATCCAGCAGGCCACGCTGGGTGGCCGGGGCTCTGCACGTCCCCTGCCCGGGGGTCGTCTGTCTCCAGTGACCCTCTTCCCACCTCCCCATGCTGAGTGAGGCCCTCCTGTCTGAGAGGCTGGCCCCTGCCAAGGTGGTGGTGGGCTCACCTGCCCCCCTCCCAGGGAACACAAGTGTCCTGTGACTTCACATACCAGGCAGTATCTAGGACCTGGAAAACTTACCCATTTTTTAAATGGCTGTATTCGATTCCACTGTGTGGATGTACCAACGTTCATCCAATCACATCCCTGTGATGAACACGGGGGGTTTCCAGTCTTCCAGTGCAAACAATGGTGCTCTCAGTACCATTGCACAGATGTAAATTCCCAGAAATAGAGCCACTGGGTCAAGAGGCAACTATATGCGTCATTTGGTAGATACCACAAAATTCCCCTGTGGGAGTTTTGCACTCCTGTCAGTAACACGGCAGGCAGTATACCTGTTTGGCAGTGGGTGCTTTTCATTCTTTCTTTCCTTTTTTTAAGTAGGCTCCACACCCAATGTGGGACTTGAACTCACAACCCTGAGATCAAGAGTTACACGCTCTACCTGCCGAGCCAGCCAGGTGCCCCTGCCGGTGGTGGGGGGGCTTTCCTAAAGGAAGAGATACAGTGTCCCTGACCCAGCCGGGGTGCCCTGGGCCTAGCGTGGCAATGCTGGCCTCGAGAGGGCAGAGTGGGGCATTTGATCGAAGACACTGCAGATGATCCAGAGGGGATGTTGGGCCGGGCGAGGGGAGGACTCCCGGCAGCTGGAGCAGACGCCTCCAGAAAGCAGAGTGGCAGCCTGCGAGGTCAGCACCAACTGGCCTGCAGTGGCCCGAGGGGGTCCTGCTGACCCAAGGCCTGGGGACGGGGGGCGGCAGCAGGAGGGGCCGGGGGGCCGAGGGCTGCGGGGGTCAGCCCAGACACCCCACGTGGGGGCATGGCTGGGGCCTGGGCCTCGTCATTGTCCAGCCCTGCATTTGGTTGAATGCTCACCTGCCTCCGTGTATCTGGGAGTGGGGAGATGCTGCACTGTCGGCCTGACAGAATGCGGGTTTATCTCCGTTAATTTATTTATTGAAGCTTATTTCTACTCCATCTCTTTCCACAAAGCCTGTGAGGTTGCTAGGTTCACGTTGGTGGGCTCTTGGCCGTGCGTGGAAGAAACGCAGTTCGCCAGCTGACCACGATCACACCGAGCTGCAATCACCCGTCCACCCGTCTGTCCTCCCAAGACTGCAGCTCCACGGGGGCAGGGACACCCTCCTCCCTGTCGCAGGCCAGGCGTGGTAGCACACAATAGATGCTTAATGAACACGTTATCTTGGAAGGAGGAAGTACATACGTTTATTGTACAGACGTGCCTTCTGAGGCCGTAGCATTGAGTTTGAAGTGCTTTACCACAGATTGTTCCATTTCTTATTTTTTAAAGGATCTATTAGGGAAAGAGAGGGCCCGTGCGCATGCGCGCACGAGTGGGAGGTGCAGAAGAAGCAGGAAAGACTCTCAAGCCGACTCCGCACTGAGTGTGGAGCCTGACGTGGGGCTCGATCCCAGGACCCCAAGATCAGGACCTGAGCTGAAACCCGGAGTCAGACACTCAATCAACTGCGCCACCAGGCGCCCCACTCTCAGGACGAAGTACTGCAGGCTTGTGGCCTGTGGTGAATAGTGGCGGGAGGCAAGCGTGAGGCCGGCCGCACAGCCTCCCAGCCCCGGGCTCCCACAGATCGCACTACTTCCCTAGCGGGGCGGGGTATGTGTGTGTGTGGGGCAGGATTGGGAGAGGCCCCCTGAAGAGGTCAGCAGAGACCCGGAATTTTCTCTGGGCAGCTGGGGCTGGAGCTGGCGGAGCAGGAGCTCGCCTCGGCTGCCTCTCCCTTGAAGGAGGGGTGAGACAGGCCCTTGCGGACTTGGCTAGGGAGCTGAGGCTGGCGCCGGGCTGCATTACTCGGGAGGTGTTCGGTGGCAAAGCCCCCCAGAGCCCGCGCTCCGCTTCTTGGCCTGTGGCTGCCCTGGCATGTGACCTCTGCTCGGTAAGGAAGCAGGATATCACACCAGGGGGGCGGCGGCCCTGGGACATTTCAGGTGCTTTGTCCCCAAAGTAGCATCTCGTCCTAAACCACACCCGGAAGAGGCTGGAGGGACTCAGCGCCAGCTCCGCACACCCGAGCCACTGCTGACTGCTTGTCCTACGCATCGCGGCCGCCCCGGAAACAGGGCCTTGCCTTGGATAAATCCACAGTATAAAGCCAGCTGATTTTGTATTTTGTCAGCCTGGGGGCTAAGTTTTAACTTCTCCCTTGCAATTTGGTAACTGTTAGCACCGTATGACCCGTGCAGCTGGAGTTTGGGGTATGTGTTGGCTTCTCCTTCGTCTCCTTCAGAGCGGGGGGGGGGGTGCTGCCCACAATCTCATGGGTGACAGAGTCCAGGTGCATGGGACCGGGGCAGTGGTACGACAGCCTGGTAAGCTGGAAGCTCCTTGTGGAATAGACCATGGCATGCCCCGCCCCTCCTACCCCTTTCCCAAGGGCCAGGGGCAAGTGTCCCAAGCCACCTGTTCTGCTGGATGGAGGCGTAGGGGATGGGGATGAAATCTAGAAAAAGGACCGTCTTAATGGAGTAGGGGGAAGGAAGGGAAGCTGTTCTCGGGATGGGGACTGTGGGTTCGAGGGGCTGGTCCAAGAGGTGGGCTCCTTCTCCCATGGCTCAGAGAGACAGTGGGGACAGAGGAGTGGGGAGGCAGGGTCCAGGAAGGTGAGCTCCTGGCATGGGTGTGGGCCAAGCTAGTGTGAACTCCCATTCCCACTCCCTGCGCCTGACTGGAGCTGGGCCCGCACAGCTTTAGGCTATCAGGTAGAGGGGAGACTTGGCAGGGTTCCTGAGGGGGGGGTCGGGAGGGTCTGGGCAGAGGGAGGAAACAGAGCAGGGGCCTGGGGACTCTGACTCCTCCTCTATGCAGTCCAGTGATTCCTGGCTCTTGCAGGAGGGAGGCAGCCTGGCGGAAGGAGGGGTGCGTGGATGGGAGCAGTCCCAACCTCCCCCACTGCAGCGCTAGGCCCAGGGCTCATTGTGAGCAGGTGGGGGCAGCAGCAGCCTGCACCCTGGCACACTGGCCATCCTGGGTGCTTGGTCCCCGGGTGCTCCCGGAGCTGAGCCTCGGCCCTGGGCACCAAAGCTCAGCAGTGACCAGACCTCAGACAGCTGCTCTCAGGACCTGGGGTGGCGGTTCCTGGGGCCTCTGGGCACCTCAGGAGCTGGGGCATCCAGGGCCTGTCTCCGGATTAGCTCTGCATACAGGCCGCCCTTCTTCAGAAGCTCTTCATGGGTCCCCACCTGGAGAGAGGAAGGAGGTGCAGGTGATCACACCAACCCAGTTCAGAGCCCTAGGTGGGCTGCCCCCTTATCAGCTGTTGGGCTCACTGTCTCCTAAGCTAACGTCCCTTCTGGGGACTCTACAAACCCGAACACAGCTTGTTACAGCCAGCCACTGGCACGTCTGTATCTGTTAGCGCCACCTGTCAGCTTGGCCGGATTTTGGAAGAGCATCTGAATCCTTCTATCTCCCTTAGAGTCCAAAGACTCCAGCTTTTACGTGAATGGGAGCCAGGCCCCATGCAGCCCCCCACCCCCCCGGCCTTGCTGCAGACCCAGCCTCTGGAGAGCTGCTCCTGGCCGGCCCCCGATCAGGGTCCCTGGTACTGCCTCCTCTGTACCTTGGCCCCTAGGCCCTTCTGTTCAGCACTTTACACTTCCCTGAGTCCTTTCCCTTTGGTCCTGGGAGCCATGACGTAGCTCGACTATCCCCATGGGACAGAGGAAGAAACAGGCCCTGAAAGACTAGGGCAGGAGCTCCTGAATCCACACAGAGTGCTGCTTCCAGAATATGGCCCCAGGCCCCCAGGGCCAGGCCAGAACCTCCCACGGCTCAGCTGAGCCATGCTCTCCACTCTGTCCATGGCTGAAGCTGTCCCAACCCACCGAGCCGCTGCCCGGCCCCCAGCTGACCTCACAGACTTGGCCATGGGCCATGACAACGATGTGGTGGGCCCCACGCACGGTGCTGAGCCGGTGGGCGATGACAAGCACCGTGCGGCCGGCGCTGGCGCGGTCCAGGGCCTCCTGCACCACCCGCTCGGACTCCGAGTCTAGTGCGCTGGTCGCCTCATCCAGGATCAGCACCGTGGGCTGCTTGATGAGGGCGCGGGCGATGGCGAGGCGCTGCTTCTGGCCGCCAGACAGGGTTGCGCCCCGCTCACCTGGGGGGGAACACGACAGGGCAGGGGCTAAAGCGATCTTCACGAAGGGGGGGCCAGGGCCGTCTGAAACTTCCCATCTGGACCCCCGGGCCCCCCCCCCCCCCGCCGCCCCCCCCCCGGCAACTGGCACCGTGCACATTTGTCCTGCCTCTGATTCCTCAGCATCCTGATCCCATAGCCCTGTGCAAATGCACGAACGCTCTCCCACCAGACAGCAGGAGCTGCGCACGCGTGGGACTCGGTGCACCCCAGAGTTGCCGTGTGCCCCTCCCATACCACGGCAGGGTCTCCGAGCCGGGCCGGGGCCCGCCCTGCCCTGGCCCGCTGGGTCTCCGCTGCCAGGGGGATGTCCAGGACCCGCATGTGGGCCCTGGAGTGGGGTGACGGCCTGCCACGGCACATTTTGGGAAGACCACCCTTGGGGTCTACCATGTCCACAAAAAACAGCAGAGGTGGCAGCCTGGGAGCTAAAGAGAGCACCATGATGACAGCAGTCAGAGACCGGTGGGGGCAGATGGGCCGCAGTTCGGCCTGGGCGTGTGCTGGGGTCAGAGGTACAAGGAAGGTGCCGCTCTAGAGAGGTGTGGGGACAGCTCCTCTCCTCAGGGTAGCGTGGAGTCTGAGCAGTGAGCAGAATCGGCTGGATCCGCAACAGAACGTGAACCATGGCGAAAGACGGGGTGGGGGGGTGCCGCTTGGCAGGGCTGAGGCTCAGCTAGACTGAGGCCTAAGTTTCAAGAAGAGCTGAAAACCCTAGCTATGCCTACACCTTGACATGTACTAGAACATTCTGTAACAGAGCCAAGACTCTGGATGAAAAACCTGGCCCCGAAGGTTGAAAAAAAGACCCGAGATGAATGCACACAGCTGTCCACCGTGATGTGAATATTCTAGTGTGAGGCTGTGATATTTCAATGTTCCAGAACCACCTAAGCCCTTTCCTGGCTAAGTCAGAAGGGAGACCCAATTCAGCCACATCAAGCCCCATGGGTAACCGGACAGAAACATTTTCAAATTAAGGAATAAAAGGCAGGAATGACACAGGAGCCAGAAGCACAAGGAATTTCGAGGCAATAATACCGTGCTTCTGGCTGGGTCTTAGGATGTGGGGGCCCCTGGCAAGCTCTGAACGGTTCCCAACACCACGGATTCCTTGTGTCCCTGGCCAGGTCTGGTACGTGTACTCCCTGTGGCGTCCCCGTCTCTGCAGCCTGTGTGTGGCGGGACCACAGAAGCGGGTCCACCCACCTAGGCCACGGGTCCAGTCTTCCCTGATGCCAGGTCTCTGTTCCTGCCCCCCCTGGATGCTCACGCCGTGGGCCCTGCAGACCCGAGCAGGACACCGTCCCCGGGCCTCACCGACGAGGGTGTTGTAACCCTCTGGAAAGCTGGTGATGAACTCGTGGGCGCTGGCTTCCCGGGCAGCAGCATAAACTTCTTCATCTGTGGCTCCCAGCTTCCCAAAGCGGATGTTCTCCATGATTGTTGTTCCAAACAGGACTGGCTCCTGCAGGTGGGGGCTCCACATGGAACATTCTGACTTTGACCCAAACCCCACAGGCGTACATTGGGAAAGGTGATTTCGGCTACACCAGAACTGCCCTCTTGGAGAGCAAGTAGGGGCAGTTCACAGTTACGAGTCAAGTAAGAACAGAGATCTAACAAAGTGGGGAGAGGCCGAGCTCCCTGCAAGGCACAGGGTCCCTCAGGAGTGGGTTGGGAAGGTGGCTGGGAGAGCAAGGCCAGCTGGCCTGGCCAAGCCCCTCCTCTCTGGAGAGAGAGGGAGAGAGGGGGTCTGTACTCTGGGCTTTCTCCTGCAGCGGTTGGAGGTGAGGGTGCCCTCTTTATCCACTCAGAGGGGGGAAGGCAGACACTCGCTTGGCGGCACCACCTCAAACAGAAGGAAAGGGGCAGGGCTGAGGGCTTCAGGGTGGGGCCGTGGGGCCTTGCTTAGTAGGGGGGGCAGGGGTCTCTAGACCTTTTGGAGACTACAGGTTTGTCAGAGAACCCAGAGATCCTCAAACAGCCTCCCACCCCACCTGCTTGGATGGCTTTAGTCGAGGAGCAGATTTCCTACCCCGGAGACAAGGACAGAGCTGCGGTGGGCTGGCATGGGGAAGCCTCAGGTCCCCTGACCACTGGGGGACCAGTGAAGAAGGCCAGAGCCCTCCCGCCCCCGCCCCGCCAAAGAGAACAGGGGGTGACGGGGGTGGGAAGGAAGGGGCAGGGTCTGGGAGGTTAAAGACACACGACCTAGGTGAGCCTGCGCAGAGAGGTAAGCCTCCCCTCCCCAACCTGGCTGATGAAGCCGATGACCTGGCCCCGGAGCCAGGAGGGATCAAGGGTACGCAGATCCCGTCCATCCAGTGTCACTACACCCGCCGTGGGGTCGTAGAAGCGCTCGAGCAGGGAAGCCACGGTGGTCTTTCCTGGGGAATTGGGGTCGGGGAGATGGGGTGGTTAGGGACATCATGCCAGGAAAGGGGGACCCCTGGTGAGGTCCTGTAAGTCATAGGGTGGGAGGGTGGTGGGTTCCTCTCACCTCCGCCAGACTGGCCCACGAGGGCCACGATCTTGCCAGGGGGCAGGGTGAGGGTGAAGTCCCGCAGCACTGGGAAGCCGGGGCGGCAGGGGTAACTGGGAGGAGCCAAGAGAGACCCTCAGTCAGACCAGGTTCCCCGCCCCTCCTCAAGTCTCACTGGACCCTGAGGGGGACTTGATTACGGGGAGACATTGACCCGCAGGTCCTCAGCCCAAAGGGAACGACCCTGCCCCCGCCCGCCAATGCTGACCTGAAGGAGACATTGTGGAATGTGATGGCCCCACGCAGATGCTCTCGGGGGACGCAGGAGCCCCCAGACAGTGGGATGCACGGGCTCAGAGTCATGTACTCAAAGACCCGGGCCCCCGCGCTGAGCCCCCGCACCACCTGGGGAGGGGGTTGAAGTCTGCGGTGAGGGAGGGCTGGGGTCCGAGGGAAGGAAGTCTTCCTGGACTCCCAAATGCAGTCAGGGGAGGGGCTTGGGGTGTCCCCTCCACCCGACACCTGTTCCCCCAGCACACAGGTGATGCTGCTGACACGACTCCAGCCCAGATCCCATGTCCACACCCTGGGGCCCGCCCCCCGACTGCCACTCACCTGGCCAAACAGGACAGAGAGGTTGGCCATGGACCTGCGGGGAGGAGAGAAAGGTTGAAAAAGAGCCCGAGAGAAGACCGGCGCCAGAGGGGAGGGTTATGGGTCTCAGCTGCACTTTGGAGGAGGCGGCGGGAGACATGTTGGCTGAGGCTCGGAAACAAGCAGCCTGAAGGTGAAGCCTGACAACGCTCCTGCCGTCTGGGGCGGCGGCAGCCCTGGGGTCCGGCAACACTAGGTAGTTCGCTGGCAAGTCGCTTCTCCTCGGAGCCACGTCATCTCCTTGTTCTCTCCTCAGCCAGATGAAGCTGACAACTGTCAGGGGCCGCAGGAGGGGGCTCCAGGGAGACAGCTGCAGCAAGCAGGCACAGAGCTGTGGGGCTGGACTCCGTGCTGCCGCAGCATGAAGGCTGGCTCCCGGAACAGGAGGGAGGGTGCCCACGCCATAGGCCGAGGCCAGCTCTGGCGCGAGGGACTCCTGGGGGAGCAAGGGCTAATTAAGGTGGAAACACGGATGTGAATCCCTTCACAGGAAGAAAACCGAAGCCACTGGACCGTGTGTGGGGTGGGGGTGGGGGAGCGGGAACGCTGGGGGGGCCCCAAGACAAAAACTCCAGAGACACCTAGTGTGGGGGCCTGCCCCGCGTAATTAGGCACGGCGCGCGCGTGCTCTGTCCAGAGGTTGCCTCCTCTGCCCTGCGGGGCTGTGGCTGCTGGAAGGTGAGTCATGCTTCTCAGTCACCAGCCCCTGACTGGGCTGGCCAGGCCGCGACAGGGCGTGCATCTGTGAGTGTGCTTGCAGGTCCTTCCCGAACAGGAAAGACTGACTCTCTTGAAGAGGAAAGTCACTTCTTCCAAGCACCAGGGGTGAGGAGGGGGAGGAGCCTGCAAGGAAGTGGTTCTGGCGGGCGCAGCGAGCTAGCGGCATTGGCCAATGTGAGTGCAGAGGCATCGAGCAAGGAAGAGCCAGGACAGCGAGCTCCCCGTGGCCAAGAAGGGAGAACATCCTCCACCAGAGATCTGGAAGCCATTAGGGCCTGGCAGCGGTGCCCAGCAGCAACCAAAAACCAGATGCCCATGACTCGGTGGTGTGTGAGATGCCCTTACTCTCAGAGAGGGCTCAGAAGGCAGGCCTTGGCTCTCCTAAGAGGCCTGGCGGGGGGCGGCCCACTCCCAGTAGGGCCCAGGCCTGGATGCAGACCAGGCGGCCTGACCCTGACTGGGGTCCATCTGGATGCCTCCCCATCTCCTCCAGAGACCCGGTGCCACAAAAAGAACACCTAGAATGGGGTCTACAGGTTGAGGCTCCCTCTCCCCCCTCCCTTCCCCTGCGGGACCCCAGGAGGAAATACACCAGCCTCCTTAATAAACTAGACCTAATTCCTCTAAAGTGGGTGGTGAAGAATGTCCATATGGTGATAGGCTCCTGAAGGACGGGCCTAAGGCCTGTGGCTGTGGGAGCAGCTCCCTCTAGGCAGCCCGAGAGAGAGGTAGTAGAGACGGACTCCCTAGGCTTTCCCGTTTGTAATAACGCTCTGCTAACTGGCGAGGCAGCGCAGTGGGGAGGAAAGGAAAGGGTCTGAACTCAGGCCACAGGGGCACGTGGGGTCCCAGGGGAAGGCGGGGCCTGAAGGAGGAGGGCCAGGTTTGGGAGGTGTAGGGAAAGGGAGACTTTCCCACCACTGCCCCTGGAGGGCCCACACCGTGGAAGGCCATGTGGTGACTGTATGAACAGAACCAGTGGGGTTCATCAGGGTCTTCAGGACAAGAGCAAGAGGCCAGGGCTCCGTCTGGGGTTGGTGCCAAGTACCATCTCTACAACAGTCAAGAGCTTCCTAGTCCCCAGGCTGGAGGAAGGATGAGGCCGCCTAGGGTCTGAACTTCAGAGAAGGTCTGAACGGGCTCATGTTAGGAAGCCCCGGACAAAAATGGGGCCGAGGGTGGGGGAGTCTTGGGATGGGCTCCACTCTACCTGGGACAATGAGGAGGCTGATGGTGAGGGAGGCTGTCGAACACGTCGTGGTGAGACAAGGAGCACAGCCCGGCCACGCGTGCCATGAGAATCAGACGCCATTGGGGAAGGGGCACAGAGGGGTGTCTGGGGTGATACTGTACTTTCTTGACGTGGTTGACAGTAACGCCGGGCCCTACTCTTCAGTGATTTATTTATATATATTTTTTTTCCTGCGGGGACTTATTATAGCATGTTCGCTCTTCGATTATTTATCCTAACATCTATTTGTACTTTATGTACTTTTATACACAGCGTGTTGGGGAGACAAAGGGATGAGAAATGGCAGCAGGAACTGCTCATGGTTAGCTCAGAAGAGAAAGGGACGGGGAGGCCTTGGGGGTGTTGAACAAAGGGAACCGAGAGCTCTGGGCAGACAGGCCCAGCGGAGCAGGCCGACCTCAGAGCCACGAACGCACTGAGCTCCAGGGTGGGCAGGGCAGGAGAGGGGGCGAGCTTCTTATCCCTGGGAAGGTCAGGCAGAGGACAGCAGGGGAGCTCTTAAGGAGCGAGTCAAAGGTGGTCTATCCACACATGGACTCGTACTCAGCCTTAACAAGGCAGACAGTCCTGCTGCGGGCTGGGCCATGGATGCACCTGGGAGATACTGCGCTCAGTGAACTAGGCCCGTCACAGAAGGACAGGTGCTGTGTGGTCGCACTTACGGGAGGGACCCAAAGCGGGCTGAGCACAGAGCCAGAGGGTGTCAGGGGCCCTAGTGGTTAACGGGCCCGGTGCTTCAGGTCTGCAGCATGAAAGGAGTGCTGGCGACCGAGAGTGGCGTGACGTGCGCAGAACGCGACTAACGTCTGCGCTGAAAACTGGTCAAGATGGTACATTTTCCGTTACGTGTATTTTACCACAATTACCCATTTTTTAAGAAAAGCTGTCACAGGCACTTTTGAGCCGTTTAGGCAGCCAAAGAGGACAGCCGCATTCCCGAGCTTCCGGTCAGGGCAGGAGGCTGCAGGGAGCCCTCCCCTCGGTGTGTGCTTCCCTGAGGAAACTGGGCGGCCAGGGGCTGGGCAGCAGTCCCCAGAGCAGGCTGCCACCTCCCCGTCCCATGACCCAGCAGGGCTCCTCCAGGACGGGGACAGCCTCGCGCTCACCTCTGCACCGTCTGGGAGGCCACCAGGAAGGACATGAGGTCTCCCCCTGTCAGCTGCTGTCCAGCCACGAGGGAGCCCCCAATAAACAGGGTGCCCAAGACCATGCCTGCACAGGGGAAAGGGCCAGGTGGTTAGCAAGAAGTGACTAGGAGCTGAGGACAGAGCCCGGCCCAGGTGTTGGACTCCAGTTCCAGTCCCTGCTGTGCCCCCGACTGACTGAAACGTCACCAAGTCACTTCAGTGGTGTCTGCCTTTGTTTCTTCATTTGGCAACGAGGCGTGGGGCGGCGGGGGGGGGGCCCGCTCGGGCAGATGGCACTGGGCAGACATCTGAAGGACATCAAGCACACGGGGAGCTGTTCCTTGCCTGCCTTGCTGGGACCATCCTTCGCTACTCCACGCTCATCCCCAGCCCTTACTGGGTGCTCCCACGCCCCGGGGCGGGGGAGACTTGCTCACTCACAGTTGAAGGCGATGTTGGAGAGCCCTTGGAACAAGGCGATGCCTCGGCCCAGCTCCTCCGCCTTGCAGCGGGACTCCTCCAGCTCCGCTCCGTAGCGTCTGGGGAGAGAGGCCAGGCCCGGCCGTCAGGAGGCAGCCAGGGTAGGGTGGCAGGGCTGGTGGGGTGCGTTCGGGGAGTCCTCCCTGCTTCAAGTCCTTCCCCGTCTGGGACTCACTCCTCTTCTCGGTGCTCCATGGCGAAGGCCCGCACAGTCCGAATGTTGCCCAGGGCCTCATCCGCTACGCCCGTTGCCCTGGCAACCTACAAGGAGTGCCGGAAGTAGAGAGCGAGGTCGGAGCTGGGGACAGAGGGCAGGGCGGCAAGGAGTGGGGCAGGTGAGGAGCACGGGCAGCAACACCAGTACCTGCTCCTGACACTGGCGAGACAACTGTCGGAGAGCTGAGCCCATCAGGGTGCCGACTCCCACGAGGGGGGGTGTGGCCAGCAGCAGCAGCAGCGTGAGGCGGGGGCACAGCACGGACAGGGACCCCAGGCAGCCGGCCACCTGGGTGCAGCTCCGCAGGCCCTGCGGCCGGAGGCAGGTTGGCAACAGCATCCTGCCGGGGCCCCTCGCCAGGGCTCTGCTGCCCACGGCGTTACCCTCGCAAGGCCAAGGCCCTAGGCCTGAGCCCCGGGAGGCCAAATGGCAGGCCACCGCGTCATAAAACGGAACCCTTTCTCTCCTAGCAGGCCCGAGAGGGCTGGGGGTGGCTGTCTAAGGACCACGGCACCCTTCCCCCCAACAAATCCCAGGTGGCTTTGGTTTTTGCTCAAGGAACCGAACAAAAAGAATTGAGTCGTAACGTCATCCAGGGACTGCTATGGGCCAGTGGCCCGGCACGACCCAGCAGCCACGGTGACAGTGTGGGTGGAGGAGGGTGGGACATTAGCAATACAGTCAAAAGCCTTCACCCCTCCTCTGTAACGCCTGCCGGCATGCCAGGCATTCCGGGGCCACGGAAGGCCAGGGCGACTTTGCTCTTGGCAAGCTGGTCCAGGAAAGGCTCTTGTCCGAGTCCTTGGGAAGGTTTTTCCGGGGAGGTAGAATTTCAGAACAGGAGAAACAGCCTGTCCTGACCTTGGACAATGCCACGGCACCGCCCTTCCGTGAACTTCCCCATTCCCTCACCCACACCCTCACCAGATGGCAGGCTCTTCACTCGGTGTGAGCCTAGGCTCAGGGCCCAGCAGCAAGGCGGCACGGGGCGGGCCTGGTGTGTCTACACTAGACGGTGTGCGTGTGTGCGTGTGCGTGTACACACAGGGGGACCTGGGGAACTGACCTGGGAGATGACGAGTTTGAAAGATGATTTAAACTCCTGCACATCAGTTGTCAACCGGCTCACCAGCTGCCCTGTCTTTTTAGCATCAAAGAAAGCAATATCTTGCCTGATGGCAGGTCAAGGGCACAGGAGGTCAGGGAAAAGAGGGAGACATGAGTTCAGGATGAGCCGCCCCACCTCCGCGCCACCAGTCACCCCCACCCACACCCTGTAGCCAGCAGTACCGGAGCAGGTTGCTGAAGAGGGCCCTCCTCATGTCCACGGCCATGCGCTCGCCAATGCGGGACAGCAGCACCAGGTACCCGAAGGTCAACAGCCCCTGGGAGAGAGGCCGGGGCACTCAGGGGCGCCTGAGCGGCTCCTCTGGGTGCCCCCAGGCCCTCCCTCCTGCCGTACCTGAACGCCATAGAGGATGAGCAGGTAGGTGCTGAGATGCCGGGACTCAGTCAGGAAGCTCCCCACGTGATCCCTCGTGTACTTGGCCACGATCTCCACCAGCTGGCCCAGAAGCAGGGGGATCTGCACATTCACCAGGGCCGCACCCAGCGCCAGCTTGGGGGGGGTGGGGGCAGACCTTTAGAAGGGACCATCTTCTTTCCCATCCGTGGCCCTGACCCCGGCCCTCCCTCCCCTGCAGCGGTTCCTGCTTTGGCTACTTCTGTGTTTCTTTGAGACAGTTGAGTTAAAACCCAGGCTGCCAGCCCCAGGGGACCCCTGTACCCTGCACACCCAGCTGCTCTGTGCAGGATATCCTGGTAACTCTTGGCTTCCAGTCCCCCGAAGCCAGCCAGCCCTTGCACTTCCTGAGGCCTATTCTGAGACTTGGTGAGGCAGACAAGTCGTCCCCATGCAGCTTGCAAACCCTTGACTGGCTCCTCTCCTGTCCCTGAGGTGGGGGAAAGGAGAGGGGCATCTCACCACGATGGCTGCCCCCAGGACCAGCAGGTGGGGGCGCAGAAACTGCCAGAAGAGCTTCCAGTTAAAGCGGGACTCCCCAACATGAGGTCTGGAGCAGGCAGGAGGGGCCTCTTCCGCCTCACACAGTGCCACAAGGCCGAGGCGGGGGCACTTACTCCACACCACAGGGCCCAGAAGGATGCCCCCAACCCAGCGCCAGGCAGAGGGTCTTTGGCTGGGGGCTGGAGGCGCTTGAAGGAGGTGGGCCCGGAGCTGGGACCTCAGCTGGGCCACAGCCCTGAGGAGGGAGGAGCCGTGGCGGCCGTGAGAGGACCTGTGGGGAGAGAACAGCATCGATGGCTCGAGGCCCTGACTGTCCCTCAAAGGAACAATACAGCAGCCCAGCTCCGGGCCGAGCCCTCCGGACAGCACCTCTTCCATAGGGTCCTGTGCTGCCTTTCCAAGGGCTGTTCTTTGGCAACCTCAGTTTCTGAGAGGAACACAAACAGGCCAAGGAGCGGCAGGATAAGACAGCAGCCGGTAATCAGGCTGGAGAGGTGTTCTCCCTGTGACGTCACACAGCGGGGCCTTCTCGGCCTCCACGGGCCCCTCTGGTCAGTGACCGTCTCCAACCCATGCTCCTTCTGATCGCAGGACATCACTTTGGATGGCAGCTCGTCTACAGGCGCTCCTTTTCCAGATGAGGACGCAGAAGTCCCGAGGGAATCCGGCTCGGAGAGGCAAGAGAGGGCGAGCACCTCCCCTGAACCCGGCTCCGTGCTTGCTTGCAGTGGCCGGCCTGGCAGGTGCGGCCCCCACCTCCCCAATCCATGGCCTGCTGCATTTGATCCTCCATTCCCTGGGAGGGAGATGCCCTTACTCTCACTTGATAAAAGAAAATGTCATGGGGGCTGAGAGAGCTGGAATACTTTGTCCCCCAGCAGCAGAACGGGGACAAGAGGAGACCCCCGATTCCAGAATCCAGGCTTGTTCTACTCTGCCACGTGTGCGGTGCCCAAGGCTGTGTGCGACAGGGCCTGGACCGGCCCCAAGTCTTCGGCCCGCCGGTCAGTGCTCCTTGCACCCCTCACCCTGGCTCCTCCCAGGCCTTGAGGGCTTATGTGACAACATACTCCCTATCAGCTGAAGGAGAAAAAAAGAAATAAAAGTCCAAATAATAGATCTTGTCACCTCAGATAGGCCAAAATCACCTTCTGTGTTCTGCAGTTTCCATATGGATCCATGGCAATGTCGGGTTCAGTGCCTACTGGATGCCAGTGCTCTGCCGCAGGGCACTGGGAACGGAGGCAAACGGGACAGACCCAGTAAGTACCCTCACAGAAGTTAGGTTTTAGTGGGGAGGACAAGCAGCTAATGACAAAGCTTGCTGAGTGTGGAAAGGGCACGGCAGGGCCCCCAGGGAGCACAGAGCGGGCGCTCCTCCTCCTGTCTGAGGGAGCTGGGAAGGGCCTTCCTGATGAGACCGAGGGTGACTGGGAAGGAGCTGGCCAAGTGAAGGGTGTGTGTGTGCCTGTAGGTGTGTGTGTGTAGACGGGGCAGGGGAGAGCTCTAGGCAGCAGGAAGCGTGTCTGGAACAGCTGCAGGTAGGAAAGAATGGAAAATGTCAGGAGCAGAGGAGCTGAAGCCTGGCATACAAGGGAAAGGAGGCATGAGGTAGTGTGAGTGGGGCAGGCATCACAATCCTCACAGAACACCTGGACTTTAGAGGGCAACGGGGACCATGGTAGGGAGTGGTTTAGCCTGGGGTATGACATAATCAAATTTACATCTTAAAGATCAGAGCAGGGACACCTGGGTGGCTCAGTTGGTTAAGTGGTTAAGCGTCTGCCTTTGGCTCAGGTCATGATCCCAGGGTCCTGGGATCAAGTCCACATCGGACTCCCTGCTCAGCAGAAAGCCTGCTTCTCCCTCTCTCTCTGCTGCTCTGTCAAATAAATTAATAAAATCTTAAAAAAAAAAAATCATAGCAGAGAGAAGAAGGCTGGAGAGGGACAAGATTGGCTACAGGGAGCTTGTTAGAAGCAGAAGTTACCTGGCCAGGAGTACATGGCGGGATGCTCAAAGATTCAAATGAGGTTGGGCGCCTGGGTGGCACAGTCAAGCGGCTGACTCTTGGTTTTGACTCAGGTCATGATCTCAAGGTCCTGGGATCAAGCCCCGTGCGTTGGGCCCTGTGCGTTGGGCCCTGCGAGTTGGGCTCCACGCTTGGTGGAGAGTCTGCTTGAGGATTCTCTCTCCTTCTCCCTTTGCCCCTCTCCCCACTCGCGGGTGTGCTCTTTCAAATAAATAAATCTTAAAAAAAAAAATACTCCCTTTGGAAAAAAAAAGATTCAAATGACGTTATTCATGGGGAGGGACTTTTAAAAAACGAATAGAATGAGGTTTTCCCTTTACTCTGATAGTCTTTCGTATTTTCAGATGCTCCTAGCCGCATCTCCACCTAATCCTTCCCTAATTTCAGGGAGGCTTGGGTGGCTTCTTACCACCTCTATGTTATGCTTTCTTCCATCCCATTCCACCTGCCTGGTTTTTATGTCTTGTTTTCCACTGTGTACTTTAGGTCTATCTTAAGTTTTAGACAGAGAAGCTAACCCTGCTTCCAATTTCCCCATTAGACTTTATATTCCTTGAGGCAGGAAGCTCTATCCTATTCACATTGCATCCCCAGCACTTGGCAAAACTCTTGTACATAACAGATGTTCAGCAAATGCTTATGTTTGTTGAGTGCATGCTCTCTTTAGAAATGCAGAAGAGAAAAATGTGACCCGACCTGCTACTGCACTGTTTGCAGTTTCAGACTTACTGAGGCCAACAATAAGAGAGATGTTGTGCATTGCCACCCAGTATCATAAACATGTCACACAAATTTGGAATGTTTCACAAAACAATACTTTCCCTAATTTGTTACACATGTATTCTATTATATTGACTTTTTTTTGGAACTTGAACTCACGACCCTGAGATCAAGAGTCACAAGCTCTATAGACGCCCATTATATTCACTTCTATTTTTTTATTAAAGATACTATTAATTTATTTGAGAGAGAAAGTGTGAGCGAAAGCCCGAGAGGGGGGAGGGTCAGAGGGAGAAGCAGACTCCCCACTGAGCCGGAAGCCCCATGGGGGACTCGATCCGGGGACTCCAGGATCATGACCTGAGCCGAAGGCAGACGCTTAACCCACTGAGCCACCCAGGCGCCCCTTATATGCACTTTTAAATTATCCTGACCCACCAAATTCATTTTATGATCTCTTGCTGTGACTTGCACGTTTGAAAGACACTGCACTTGTGAACACACAAATATGTGGATCTTATTTGACGTCTTTCCCTGGGTTTCTCTCTGGTTTAAACGATATTAACACCCTTACTCTTTGGACTGTTTTCAAACTTTTTAACAATTCACCATGGCTACTTTCCAGCTTCTCTCATCTTCTCCAAACTAAGACTCTAAGCAGGGCTTGGTCACTGCCAAGAACTGGAGGATTACTTCCCAGCAACGGTACTTCTAGCTGCAGCTTGGCCCAGCTCTTGCCCTCTTTCAATCAGATGGGCTATCCAAATGACACAAGTTCACATCGACCCAGCACTGCCAGTCGGCTGCCTGGCTGGCCTGCAGGTTATTCACTCCAGGATGAGAAAGGAATCAGTCCTTTCTCATAAAGCATTTACACTGGAGTCGCAGTTTCAGGGTCCACGTTCGTTTCCTACCTGCGTCTCTCTCCCTCTTTGAACCATGTGTAGAGTGAACACACAAAAACACACACGTACGCGTTTCTAGATTGACTTTACCTCTGCTGAAAGTATCCAGATCTAGGAAGCATTTATGTTCAGCTCATACTGAATCTCAGGAGCAACACCAATACTAAATGTCTCTAGACACCAATAATTTCTGTCCAGATTGCCAGACCAATTCCAAGAACGAGGACAGGAAGCGGGGGCAGGAACGGCGGCGACCCCAAGGCTCAACACCTGTGCGGCATGGCGCCCTCTGGTGGGAAGTACGGACCCAGCGTGGTCACCGACCCAGAGTGTGCCCTCCGTCCAGCCCACATACAGATACAGACCGACCGAGTCTCCTGCTGGCACCTGGGTCTTCCCTATAAAAAACTGAGGCCAAGCGCTGAGGAGTAACATTCCACCCCTCCCCCCCGCCCCGGGCCGGCCTACAGCTCCCAGCAGGCCTCGCGCGAGCCCGAGACTCCAACTCCCGGCGGGCCCCACGCACGGCCAGCCGGCCGACGGCCCGCGCTCCCAGTAGGTTTGTCACTTTTTACCTGACGGCCGAGAATGTCTGGAAGCAGAGGGGTGGCAGCAACCTGCCTGGGACAGGGCCACCCCGAATCCCGACCCGAAATAAGTGCACCAACATGATGGAACGTGACTACAGGAGCAGCCGGCAACGAGAGCTTCACCCTCATCCCATTGAGAGCTCCATGTTGGTTCCGGCCCCCATCCCGACAACCCCCTCGCGCCTCGGCGACGATTGGCGGAAAGACGCATCAATCTCGTCTAAGGCTGTGATTGGAGAAAGCCTTTTCGGTCCTCCTCCTTCCGGATCTGTGATTGGAGATAGCCGCCTGCCCGCCCGTCCCCCCCAGGCCTGGGCGGGGCCGAGCAGGTGGGGCATTGCCTTCTGTCCACTGCCGGGGTCATCTCTGGGGTGACGTTACGAGGGTGTGCCTCGTGCGTCCGTCCACCACGGGGTATCCATAGTAACGTGCCAGCCGCTGACCTCGGGGCTGTTCTCCTGTGGGTGCTGCCGGCGGACTCCAGATGTCCCGGCGTCTCCAAGGAGTGTAGAGTGCTGGTCCTAGGGGAGGAAGGGACAAAAATGACCTGGGGAATTTTTTCAAAACGTCTGCACGTTCCTTGTCACCCGCCCCTTTCTCCCAGAGAGGTCAGAGTTCCAGGGACGGCAGGCACGTGTATTTGGGAACTTACTACCCTGGTGATTCTGATACACTCCCCCTGCTTAACGATTGAGAACCACTAGCGTGGAGGTTCTGTATAGCTTATCCAGGCACGACCCCAGATCCTTCTTCCCCATAGATGCCTTCCTCACCACAGTCAAGGTGACTTGCCTAAGACTCCCACTGCACAGCTCTTGCCCCTCTATTACTTCCGTGTAATTATTTGCATAGCTACCTCCCCCAGGGGCTGTGACTTCTTTCTGGGTAGTGGCTCTGTCTCATTCAACCATACCCCTTTCCCCTCCAAGTGCCTGGCAGAGAAAAGTGCCCTTTTTATAACAAATTCGCTTGAATTGGGGGTGGTGGTAGGGAGGCTGTCAATTGATGAACCTGGTGTGGAACTGGGTAGGAAAATGTGCCCGATTAGCTTGAAGTTGGGCTGGGAGTACGGGAGGGGTCCTAATGTGAGTGGATGGTGGAATATTGGGGTGAGTGAGGTTGAGAAGTGATCAGGCAAACCCTACATAACGCACCTTGGCAGATGTCTCAGAAAGATGGGAACTTCCTAGCTCCTCTGCAATGTGGGATTCCATCTTGGGCACTAGGATGTCCCCTCTAGAGGTAGTGAATCTCGTTTCGTAGCTCCGCCTCCTGCTGCTCAGGGATAAAATGATGTAATAATCCTTGTCCCTGGAAGGCAGCACAGAAGGAGGAAAACAGGCATATCTGGACTCCCATTTTGTGGGCAATTCTATGATTGCCTCCACATTCCTCCAATGAACACTCTGGGCCCACTTTGTTCCTCTCTCTATTTCATGGATACTGTCCCCTTCAACAGCCCTCAGGCCTAAGCCCTGGAGGCCCTGACACCTGGTTGGCTGAGTCAGCACCTCAGGAATGGGGTTCAGTAGGAAACCTGGTGATTCAGGGCCTCAGGAATGGCGTCGGACATGCCACCAAACAGCTGCCTCCTCCTCCTCGTTGAAGTGGCAGCAAGGAACTCAACTCAGCCGGCTCCTCTCTGGGTATTCAAATTACCCTTCCAAATTCCGGTCCCCCAGCTGCCTTCTGCTGGCTCAGCTCTGATGGTTCTCAGGGGGCCCCTAAAACTGGATCAGGACTGGGGGAGAGGGTTTTTTGCGTCTATGGGGATAAAGGAAAAAAAAAAAACCATAATAGAACTTCCAAGGGACCCTTTTCTACTGTAAGTTCCCCAAACCGCTTCCCACATCCAGGATAGCTGCCCCTCCTTTCTTCGCTGCCTTCCCCTCTTCAAGTTCTTCCAACCTGGCCGCGGAAGCGCGCAGTCTCCCCTCTTCCCTTAGTACCGTCAGGCAAACTGAACACCAGGCCTTTCTTGTTTTTTTCTTCTTGCTTTTGGTCTTAACGTATTTCTCTGTTGATCTTTGAGATGTGTGTGTGTATGTGTGTGTGTGTGTGTGTGTGTGTGTAGGGAGAGGGGAGGCAGGATTTTAAGGAACCAAAGATTTAACATCTCGGCTTCAGAGTCTTATAATCCTCTGATAGGAGTTTCTTTTTGCTGTGTTATTTTGGCTGCTACTCTCTGGCCTCCTCTTTAAACCCACTCGAGGTCTGAGGAGGGGACTACAGGTGTCTCTGGCCTGCATGCTCTTTAGCCCCTGCCTCTCCAGCTTGCGCCCCTCCCAGGCACAGAGGCTTGGCCCTGAGAGGTTTGGCCGCAGATTGCCCTGGAAGGGACGTGAGTGGTCAGACAGGTGACAGAGCTGGGACGCCTGAGGCCTGCCCTGACTGAGTCACCGCGTTGTTGTCACCATCCTTGTTGAAGTCCCTGCTCAGCACCCCAGACCTCTGTGGAGGCAGCAGCAGCTCCTATTCTTCCAAGCTTTCCAGAGAAGCTAGTGGCCTGATGGTGAGGCGAGTGGGCTGGGCGGGGAGCAGAGGGCGGCTGGGGCCGTGGGGAGACCTGGGGCCTGGATCGGTGCCTCTCCTCCCCATGCCCCTGCCTCCTCTTCCTCCTCCTCCATGTCGGGGGCCCGGCAGAGGGAGGATTTCCATCTTCTCTCTGTCCCCTGCCCCTCACACAAGAAGCTCCCCTTCCTCGGCTCCCCCTCTGGTCCTGGGGCCCCCCTGCCCGGCGGTGCAGGCCCCAGGGGCCTCTCAGCCTCGCCACAGTGCCCTCCCCACCCCCACAACGCAGGCACAGCCCGCGATGACCCCCACCTCTGCTCCCCCCTCTTGGGGCTCCCACTCCACCCCACCCCCAGCCTCAGTGACTCCCCCTGCCTCACGCCGATGCCCCCAGGACCCTCCTGGGCTGCGGATAGGCCCTCTGATCCCTGAGCAGGATTATGAGCGGCTGGAAGACTGTGACCCTGAGGGGTCCCAAGACTCACCCCTCCATGGGGAGGATCAGCAGCCCCTGCTCCATGTGCCCGAAGGGCTCCAAGGTAAGTGTGGGTGTGGTGCTGTGAGGGGAGTGCATTGGGGAGGGCCTGGGGGCTCCTGAGGGTGTGAACTGGTCACTCAGGTGAGAGCCAAGTCCCAACAGTCTCTCCTCTGTGCCCAGGCTCCTGGCACCACATCCAGAACCTGGACAGCTTCTTCACCAAGATATCCTTTGTGCTGGGCCTGGCAGCAGTGGCATTGGGCGGGGGGGGGGGGGGGGTTGGGGCTGGTGGCGTTCTTGGCAGGGAGGCTCCGAGGGTGCAGTGGTTTGGGGGAGTGAGGGAGAGGGGTCCTCAAGAAAGGCCCATCCTGCCTCAGGCTTATTTCTTGACACGCGCTATCACATCTATAGCTACCACCAGAGGAATGGCTTTGCCTGCATCCTGCTGGAGGATGTCTTCCAATTGGGGTGAGATGCTTGTCCCAACCCCCAAACTCTGTCATCTTGCTTCCTCAGTAGTCCCTGCTGCTTCTAGTCCACCCAGCATGGCCATGGCTCCCCCTCGCCCCCAGCAGCCCAGGGGTTCAGCAGGGTGGGGAGGACCCCCCAGGGCTGGCCTGGAGGCTGATCACTGCACTCCCTGTCTCCCAGACAATTTGTCTTCATTGTCACCTTCACAACCTTCCTCCTTCGGTGCGTGGATTACAACATCCTCTTTGCCAACCAACCAAACGACCGGACAAGACCTGGGTTGCTCCACAACAAAGTAACCTTGGCGGATGCCATCTTACCCTCCTCCCAGTGTGCCGAGCGGTGAGTGACAGCTGGCTGGGCGAATGGCTGGGGGAGATGAGCAGGCAAGAGCCACCCAGCCTTTTGTCCCTGGGTCTGAACCAGCGGCTCTCCAGGTTTGTGGTCTCCAGACACCTTTCATACACTTAAACTTGATCAGGAACACCCAAGGGCTTTTGTTTACGAGAAGCATATCTATCTGTATTTACCTTATTAGAGATTAAAGCTGAGAATAATTTTAAAATCTAAGAATGCAGAAGCACACATTCCATCAGCTGCCGACGCGATGTCACACACACAGCCTCTGGAAAAGTCCATTGTACCCTCATGAGGGAATGAGTGTGAAAATGGCAGAAAACCTGAGTGTTCCCTGAAAAATATTTGGACCTTGCAGACACTTGTGAGGGCCTCAGGGACTCCCCGGGCGTATACTTTGAGAACCGCTGGTTTAGCTGGGTCCCCCTCTCTGTGACTTTTCCATTCTCTCCCCAAGTCTGGTCTCCCTTTCTGTTGGGCCCCCACTTTCTCGCTGCTATCTGTCCCGCCCCACACAGGATCCGCTCCAGCCCCCTGCTGGTCTTCCTGCTGATCCTGGCTGCAGCCTTCTGGCTGTTACAGCTGCTTCGCTCAGTCTGCAACCTCTTCAGCTACTGGGACATCCAGGTGTTTTACAGGGAGGCCCTGCACATCCCCCCGGTGAGCTGGGTGGGCGTGGCTGCGGACAGGGGCCCTGTTGGGGCGGGGGGGGGGCAGAGAATAGGGGAGGAGTGGGGGCTGTGCAGACAGAAGGACCCAGTGGAAAGCAGGCACCTGCCCAGGCCCTGAGTAATGTCAGGAGGTGGGGTACCACCACTTAGAAAACACGGTCCGGACCCTAATGGAATTTTGTTCATTTAGTTATAGAAAATGATTTATGGTCACATACTTGTGGTCAAAACAGTAGGTAATTTAGAGGAAGGGTGGCCATCAGGCTTTACAGGGCAGAAGGAATTTGGGTGGGGCTGGGAAGGATAGGAAATGCGAAGGCATTCCAAGCCCCAATGCCAGCAGTGGGGCAGCACTGAGATGGACCCACCAGCCTGCAACTGAGTGGTCAGGCCCCATCGGGTGATCCCACCCTTGTGTCTGGCCTCACTTTCTAGTACAGTGAGCCACTGTGATGGGCCCCTTCCCTGTCCCCGTTCATGCTTTGCCCTTTCTTTCCTTCACTGCCCTCATCTGGTCCACGCTCCTTCTTGCTCGGGTTCCTAAGTTCTTTCTTTAAGGCCCAGCTCAAAGGCTACCTTCT